AAAATAGGCAAATTTAAATAAATATAAAAGTATAAAAGTACACAGAACAAAAGTCTATAACAGCAGAACAATTATAAAAGAAAAAATCAGAATAAAATTCCAGACAATACATAAGTTTTAGTTAAGCTTTTAAAAGCATTTAAATTATTATAGTCCTTAATATTTTTTGGCAGCCTGTTAAACTCTAACAAACCAATATTTAAAATGGTATTCAACATATGTGTAGTTTTACATCGATTGCCTAGGATGAAATCAGTACGGTTTCTAGTGTTATAGTCATGAACATTATTAAAGTAATTAACCCAATTACTAATATATGGCGGCATCATTTTATTTTTTATCTTAAATATAAATATAAAGGCATCAAACATTACTTTTTGCTTTACAGTTAATATTTGTAACGCATTTAACATAGTCATCACAGGTGCATGTCTATTACATTTTAGAATTGCGCGCATTGCTCTGTTTTGTATTTTCTGAAGTTCTGTTGGTCTATAGTTAGGTATATTAAAAATAATAGAGTTGAACCATATTGCAGATGTGGCGCCGTCAAGCTATTGTAAAGTAACTAATTTCTTTTCGCGGAGTAAAAATAGAGGTTGCTTACCACCGATATGAAAAGAAAATGGGCGGCGAGCTCGGAAGAGCTTTAAAGTGGACTGTAGGCTTTAAGAATTTAGAAATAATACCGATCGCCAAACGGGCCGCTAAAGAAGTTTGAGGTCTCACCTTAAGCGCACGCCTCCGTCTCCTCAGCAGGCCTGCTTCCTCTTTGGTGTAAGTTCTGCTACTCAATTCGCAGAACTGACCGGGTGTTACGCCACGGACAACATAAACGCACAACGAGAATCTTATGAATTAAAGTTCCCTTCGCGGAAAACGCGCAACAGATCTCGCTGCTATCACACACGGAATGAAAAATTCACTCCCGATCGGCTTGACGCAAAAAAAAACTTTAACGGCCATACCGCGGTAAAAAATGTTCCAGCAACTTAATTTTTTATTTGAATACGCACAAAATTATTAGTCCCAAAAACCCGACTAAACATAAGAAAACTTTCTCTCTTTGCAAATTACCAAAAAATAAAATAATTAAAAAAAAATTATATATATACAAGGACAGATGTGTGATCTGTTCAGTAACAATTTTGTATAACTTGTTAAATTTTTAAGTGCTCTAAATATGAAAACCACCTTTTGTGAGAACTTTCTCATTATATAATCACAATGTGCATCAAAATTTAATTGTAGATCTAATATAATTCCCAAATATTTTATATGTTTCTCATACTGCCAATTAACGCCATTTATATTAATATTAACACTCTCCAGACCCAAACCACTTAATCTATGTTTTTTGCCATACACACAGAACTTCGACTTCAAGACATTAATGCTAAGATTATTATTGCACAGCCATACAAGCACTCGATACTCGAGGTGATCATTGATATTCTTACCAACGACACATATCATGGTATCGTCGGCAAATAATGTAATTTTGCTGTTTTTCACAACTTGAGCTAGATCATTAATATACAGAAGAAACAATAATGGCCCCAAAACAGTACCCTGCGGTACCCGATGATCCACCAAGATACACTCAGACACAGATGACTCATATTTTACATTTTGCATTCTGCTAGATAAGTAAGAGTTTAGCCAATCCAGGGCTTAGTGCTTTATACCTATGTTTTCTAGCTTAGCTATTGACAGACTCAAAAGCTCTTCTAAAGTCCAAAAACACAGTCAAAACAAAACTATTGTTATCGACAGCCCCAACAAATTCATCACAGATACTAACCATCACAGTCTCGCAAGAATGTCCGGTTCGAAATTGAAACAGTGTTGATCGGTCTAGAATTAGAATGCAGCTTAGTACCTGGAACCTTCGGCACCGGAACCACCAAAGATGACTTTCATTCCTCTGGAAACTGCCCTTTAGAAAATGACGCATTGATAACGTCCAGTATCCTATTTCCAACCACCGCAAAAGCATCCTTGAAGACTCCTGTTAAAATGCCAGATTCGCCCACACCAACATTTTTCATTCCACGCACAATCCTTTTTAAGTGAAACAATGAAATGTTTTCAAACCTCGCGAACTCCGTGACGCTGTGATTTTTCGTATCCTGGTTTTGATCTAAACACATCAAATTGTTAATGTTTCGATAAAGGAAAATTTGTCAGTGTGGAAGCTCGCAGAAAAATTTAAAATCGGGACAATTCAAGCGGCTGAAATTGTGAAGAATAAGGACAGCATTCGTATACAGTGGGAGTCGGGATGCAATATTGATCAAAAAAGAAATTTTGTAAAACCTGAGGGACTTCAAGTTGACAAAGTGTGTTTTGATTGGTTTTCAGAGAATCAACAGATGTGAGTTAAGAAGACGTAAATCAGTTTAAAGTTAAGTTGCCCACACTACTTCTCAGATATCAGCCGCATGATGTTTACAATACAGATGAGACAGGCCGTTTCTTTCGAGTCTTACGTAACAAAACACTTGCGTTGAAATCCGAAAACGGTAGTGGTCTAAACCTTTCCAAGGAAAGGCTTACAGTTTTATTTTGTTTATTGTGGCAGGACAAAAAGATTTTCTAGTGATTGGACATGCTGCCCGACCTAGGGCGTTTAAAAATGTAGCAATTTAACAAACACGGACGACGCGAGACGTTATGAATGAATGGCTGTTATAATTTCATAAAAAAATGGCACTACAAACCCGAAAAATTTCAAAATTCTTGGATAAAGTAACATCGCAACCCCGCGAGGTCAAATAACAAAACGTAAAAATTATCTTCGTGCCTCCAAATACGACATCAGGGTATAATACAGAATGTAAAATTCTATTATCTTGGGCTCATACTGAAACACATTTTATAAAAGATGGATCAGGTAATGTCCGCGTCAGATTTAGCAAAGTCTGTAATAGTATATTATGCAACAAGTGCGGTAAACGTCATTTGACTCACGAGTTTATTTGACATGAGCGGAGCGAGTTTTTAATAAACGAGTGAGTTAAAAAATTTACCGAACATGTTGCATACTATACTTTTTCTACGAGCGTTAGTTTTTGGGTACATTTTCTCACGAATTCACTATCAGAGCATAATTGAGATTAATTGTAAAAGGATTTATGTTGTTATGTATAGAAATGTAAGAGCCGTCAATTTTTATAACGTGCTGTAATGAATTTTGTCTACTCCCGTCTGTAAAATATCTAATTACTCACCGATCTAGCGTGCGGGATGCGTCACTTTACCACGTCAGTTTCGTTTCCCATGAATCTGAGCCACTTCGGACATTGCCGAGATTTTACCGCACGGGTTTGGGAGCAATCGGATGTTTTCGGAGATATTTCCCACGCTTTGAATTTTGACGTTTGTCAATTCTGATGGTCATGTCAGTGAATGTATTCGAGTTGTTTTGCGAAAATGTACCCAAAAACTAACGGTCGTAGAAAAAGTATATTAACGGTCGACTTCGAAACTCAAAAAAAATTCTAACTAAACTAAACCTATAATCTGAAATGAAATCTATATTGATTACACTGCAGTCTTGGTTATTTGGTGTTTGTATTTCCGTGGACCAGTAAAAAATTATTTTAAATAAAACACACTCAATATGAAGACATGTTTGATTTTTTCGAAACTATCTAGGTACATTTTATATATAAATAATCTTTGCCTTACCAGTTTCTGTCCTATTTTGAATTTCGATCGATTTCTCAGACTGAAAGCATTTCGTTTACATTTGCGATTGATCTTTTCATGGAATGTTGATCTTCTTGAGTGATGTGTGATGTTTAAAAACAAATAAATACAGAATGGTGTGACAAAGAAACATGACCAGAAAAAAAATTTAATCATTTTTTATTGAAATGCATATTTTAATGCAAAAAAATGAGCTCTAGACTATAACAAAGAATTAGATAATTGTAAATACTAACATAAAACAAAGAAAAAACAGGCAGTTTGTTATTTGCAACATTTGGAAACAAATACACATAATTTTTTTTATAAAAATGGTCCTAAATTCATTAAATTCATTCGTTTAAAACATTGTTTTTTGTTAGATTTTGTCTATATTCATATTTTTTACCAAATTTCTAGCTGTCTATCAGGTATGATTAATAATAAAAAAAAAGCCAAATGACAGTAAATAATAGGTACCATCTCTTTAGCGTTTCACTTTTTTTCTTCTACCATGTTTCGCAATTATCTTCAGTTGTTTTTTAATTTAACTTTATTCAGGGTTAGTATTTAGTATTTTTTACTTTCTTTAAACGTTTTGAGATCGGGGGCTTAGGGAGATTAGGGGGCTTAAAACTCAAACATTGATTACATTGCGTTCAGACTCATTTTAAGTAAAATTCAAAATATTTTAGAAACGGTAAGACTTGTGTATAGGTTATTACATATAAAAGAAAGTTTCGAGAAATTCAAGAATGCCTTAATATGATTGTTTTTTTTTATATTCTTTTGGGATAAGGTTTCATCCTTCATAAACGGGCCACCATGTACACTAATTTATAGCAATAACAATAACACCTTCAGTTCAATATGATCTAATATCTTGCTAAATGTAGGACACTATCTGAATGGTAAATCAATTCTCAATATTAATTTCGACTATAAGTTATGCATTCAAAAATAAACTATTACATGAAAGAATCCTGCGGTTAATCCCTCTATTTAATATAACATACAACATAAATTTCACTATAATTTGAAAAGCAGGCTATTAAAGTTAGGTGATACCGTTTAGGTAAATCATTTTGCGCTTCTATTCTATACCTATTTGGATATTGCTGTTGTTCAAATGGGCCTTTTGGCGTAATCACAAAACGTACATTGCCCTTTTCAAGGTACAAAATGTATTTGTTAGGTTTGTTTCAAGTTGAGTCAACGAATGGTGTCGAGTAAATAATAAACACTCATCCTTATCGCCCATACTCGAACTGAAGTATTTAAAACCAAATTTTCGCTTTCATGTCGTATTGCGCTGGGCAAATGTCCTCGAAAGATTTAAAAATGTTTCGCGTCATCGTCCTGCTGAGTTTCCTGGTAATAAGGTAGGACAACCAAAGCCATAACGATCATCGTTAAAACGCAACAATTTCTTAGAGCCTCAAGCCTGAACAATCACTCGTTCCCCAACAACTTCATGTTCGGCGTTGCCACGGCCTCTTACCAGATCGAGGGTGGGTGGGATGCAGACGGCAAGGGCGAGAATATGTGGGACTGGTGGACTCACACTTTCCCGGAAAAGATCTCCAACCGCTATAGCGGCGACGTCACTTGCGACAGCTACCACCTTTGGCGTGACGATGTCGAGATGCTTAAACATTTGGGTGTTAATCATTACAGGCTGTCCATCTCTTGGTCGAGGGTGCTACCAGAGGGTACGACGAACTACGTCAATCAGAAAGGGGTCGAGTATTACAGAAACCTGTTCCAGGTAAACCCTGCCTTCTGGTACATCTAATACTCGTGTCAGGCACTTTTAGATAACGGGATCACGCCTCTGGTGACGATCTACCACTGGGACCTGCCACAACCATTCAACGAACTCGGTGGCTGGATGAATCCCTTGATAGTTGATTATCTGGGGGATTACGCAAGGGTGTGCTTCCAGTTATTTGGAGACCTGGTCAAAAACTGGATCACCATCAACGAACCACAGACTACATGTCTTCAAGGTTACACTCAAGGCTACAAAGCACCTGGGTACGCCAATGAAGGGGAAGGTATCTATTTGTGTGCTTACACACACGTTCTAGCACATGCTAGGGCCTACCATATATACGACGAGGAATTTAGGGCATTACAAAATGGTATACAAAGCACCAAACACCTAAGTCTGATTTTCAAAATATCCGTTACCGTAGGTACCATATCTATTGTCCTTGACAGCAGCTGGTCAGAACCAGCATCCGATAGCGATAAAGACTTGGAGGCGGCTGAAACCCAGATGGAATTTATCGTAAGCGAATAGCATCGAGGTGATTGTTAAATCTTCAGTCATTTTAAATTTAGCTTGGTCTGTACGCGAACCCCATTTACAACGGTAACTGGCCTCGGGTAGTTATAGATAGGGTGGGCACCAGGAGTTTGCTGGAAGGTTACTCTAAGTCCCGTCTACCAGAGTTTACCCAGGAACAAATCGACTACGTTAAGGGAACTTACGATTTCTTCGCTCTTAACACGTAAGCATCGGGTATGTGTATGTAGAATCCAATTGTTTGAGCTTTTATTCTAGTACGAAGAGAGTTTTCCAAACTGGAATAGCACCGCTTTGTCTATAAAAAAATAGACTTCATGTTGTTTTCAGGTATGCTACCAATCTCATCTACCACCAAATCGACGTCAACCAATCGATAGGTAAAGCGAGTTACTTCCTTGACAGTGGTACCGGTTCTAAGACGGACCCTTCTTGGAAAACGGTAGTCGGGTGGGTGAACGACGTACCGTGGGGCTTTAGAAAGTTGCTTAACTGGGTATCGGAGCATTACAAACGCCCTGATATATTCATAACGGAAAACGGATGGTCAGATTATACCGGAGAGCTGAACGATCAAGACCGAATTGAATATATAGGTGTAAGTACACTAGATACTATATCTAATCGATAACCGATGTTGTCGATTTTAGAATTACTTGAGCGCCATCTTGGATGCGATCTACGAAGATGGAATCAACATCTTAGGATACACGGTATGGACTCTGATGGATAACTTCGAATGGCAAGTTGGATATTCGTAAGTGTTGGTAGGTGGTCCGATGGGGATTCCGAGGGTAGCTTTGTGTGCATTTCAGTCAGAAAATGGGGTTGTACTACGTTGATTTTGACAGTCCCAACAGAACCAGGACCCCCAAAGCTTCGGCGGAGTGGTTCGCTGGGGTTATTCGGGGAAGATGTCTGCTGGATCAATGCGAGAATTAATGTCAATTTTCAATAAAATTTTTAATTTCGACCACATTTTTTATTTGACAACCTACTCGAACCATTTTTTTATTTACACTTTCAGAATAGTGAAATATTTCTAGTTTAAACGGAAGAAAAGCAATTATAATCTTAAGAGCTCAATAACCGAGTAATTTTTGTCTTAACCATTCGGGGTATATAGAGTCGCTATCTTAGCCGTTTTTTAAACTTCATAAGTGTTGTTCACAATTGTTTTTTTGTCGCACTGGAGCTATTATACAGCTGTTATATAGCGACAATGTTATTTTTCTGGTTGTTCATTATGGGGGCAAAGTATTGCGTCATTCACTTTTTTGTTGTCTGAAATATTTCCAATTCGTTATTCATTCAAAGAGTACGCGATTATTTCTTACCTTTTCCATCTAGTTGATCTTCAGCCGACGTCTTCTTTTAAGCGAGGCTTCTGTTAGCAGCGCCTTAGCATTTCCATCTAAATTGTATCCTTAGATCGTGACATAGAACTTTAGTATCTCAAACAACGATCATATATTTTGTTTTATTAAATGTACAATTGTAAGCCAAAGTTGGTTCATTGAAGGTTCTCACTACTGTTTGTTAATTGATAATTCCAGCAAGAGTTAAGGAAGAGATACTTTGCGAACACCCTTCAGGTTTCACTTGGTGAAAAGTCTCCCCTAACCTTGTCAACCGTGCTGAGAAACTCGTTCTGGTTGACCGTCCGGCATCTTTAAATCAAAACCTCGACACCCAATCTTTCCTTCTAACTTTTTGTACATTCGGTAATAGATCACCGATGAAGTTAATTGTTTGGAGCTCTTGACATTTTTGACAATTCGAGAAGTGCGTTGCATTAATTTTTTCTTATTATCTCAAAAATATCAAAATTGGCAACATATCTTTATACAAATATTTTATTTCGTTTTGTTAAAAAAAAACAAAGCGGATGCGGCAGTGGTCTCTCAGTTATAAATGCTTTTGAAAGTTATTTTAAAAAACTATTTTTTCTATTAAACATTAAAATGTCTCGGTTAGACACCGATCGGAATGTGTTCGTAATCGACGCCATTTCTTTGAAGGTCTCACAATTTTCGTTATCAAAATTAAGAGAATAAAACACTTTTGCGATTACACAAATGCAATACACTGCGAGCAAACACTCAAGCTCAAGTATTTACGTGAGATATTCTGAACTTGTTTTGCCGTCGTCATTAGGCATTTTGTAACCGACCAACGCGCAGCCATGTTGCTAACGGTCGCTTTGGCCAATTTGCTGGTGATTTGGTGAGCCATGGTGAACATCTGTAAAAGTCTTGCTGGCCAACTTAACTCTCCTTTCGCAGCTCCTCCGAGCTGAGCGACTATCCTATTCCCAAGGATTTCATGCTAGGGGTCGCTACAGCCGCTTACCAGATCGAAGGGGCATGGAATGAGGACGGTAAAGGGGAAAGCGTTTGGGATTGGTACAGCCACACGTTCCCGGAAAGGATAGATAACGCTGCCACTGGTGACGTAGCTTGCGACAGTTATCACAAGTGGGAGGAGGACGTGGCCTTGCTCAAAGAACTTGGGGTGGATCACTACCGCTTCTCGCTTTCGTGGTCTAGAATTCTGCCTGAAGGTACCATCAATTACGTCAACGAAGCGGGTATCGAATACTACAGGAAACTTCTACAGGTAGACTGTCTTACCTTCAAATTTTTAATTGTTTTGGAAATTATTTATGGATACGTCGCCAAATGACATCTGTTTTCGAAACTACCTTTAGTGATGTACAAAAAACAAATACATACAATTAGTGGAGGTATTCTTGAGGGAGATTTCGCGACGTCTTCAAATTTTATATTCACTTTTTTAAAGACAACACCTAATTATCTACCAGGGTCTCGCTGACAACAACATCACTCCATTGGTGACGCTCTTCCATTGGGACACTCCGAGACCCCTTCATGAGTTGGGTGGTTGGACGAACCCCTTGATCGCCGATTACTTTGCCGAATACGCGAGACTGTGCTTTGAACGCTTCGGTGACTTAGTCCAAAACTGGATCACCATCAATGAACCTCAGACCACCTGCGTTCAAGGTTACACGGAAGGGATCAAAGCCCCTGGATATTCCGATGAAGCAGAAGGGGTGTACCTCTGCGCGTATACCCATGTGCTCGCCCATGCCAAAGCTTACCATATATATGACGAAGAATTTAGGGCCATGCAAAAAGGTAAGCAACTGTTTGTCTCGCAATAACGCAAATTGGATCAAAGTGAAAACCCGAATAACCTAACTGAAGATAGATGTCAAACACAGATCTGGGTGACTCTTAATGTGTGCGGGTGGTCGTGATTGGAGCGTCTTGTCATTGGCACAGCATATGCATGGCCTACTTATATATAAATAAAAAATGCTTATATCTCTGCCATTTTCACTACAATAAAGGTCATGAAATCAGAAACTTGTATTGAAAGTGGCCTTATAATATCTGTTCGAGAAGCTTTTTTGAAAATTGGCTCCATTGGCTCAAAAATTGATCCCATGACATTTGGTCTATTTAATTTAGGTTTCTTCCAGTACTCTGTACAGGTAATAGAATTTAAGATCGTATTTTGTTTAGTGCAAATACATTTATGTTTGTTTTTTGTATTCCCAGGATAGGTTTCTTATGGTGCTGAAGCAACTAAAACCTAGCAAAAAATTAAAGAAAAAAATTTACATGCAGTTAACACACTGATTTTAATATTACTAATCGACAGAAAAGAAAACACGCGGAAAGAGCGGTAAAGATATAGTTTTGGTAGTTCCATATTTTGAAAAAAGTGAGGTTACAATCAGAACTTATTATAGTTCTAGTTATTAACGACTCCGGCCGAATCCTTGTAGAGTTTTATTTATTCTCGTTGCTGACTAATGATATATGATGTACTTTTAGGTCGCATTACCATCGTAGTGGACAGCATGTGGTGCGAACCGGCTTCGGACAGCTCCGAGGACAAAGAAGCGGCTGAAACTGAAATGGAATTCATCGTAAGTGTGGAATTTCTAAAATTTAGATAAAAATATAAATCGCTTGCACTCAAGTAATCTTCACTGAAAGGATATCCGGAGTTTTGGTTAGACTTTTCTTTTCGTGGAATATACCACCATCTGTGCCACCCTGGTACTACGCGTAAATCATTTTACCGCGGTTAACCCTTTGATGTTTGTTTACTGCCTTGTGACGTCATCCTTATTTTCTGCTCAGATCGGCTTGTATGCCAACCCAATCTACAACGGCAACTGGCCCCAGGTGGTCATCGACCGAGTGGGGAACAGGAGCTTGCTCGAAGGTTACCCTCGATCTCGGTTACCAGAATTCACCAAGGATGAGATCGACTACATCAATGGCACCTTCGATTTCTTCGCTCTCAACTCGTAAGTCGCTGCCGGTATTTTTTTTAACGAATCTTCGGTAAATTTTCTTCCTTACCAGCTACTCCACCAATTACATATACCATCAGATCGACGTGACCGAGTCCATAGGCAACGGGAGCTACTTACTAGACAGCGGCATCGGTGCCAAAGTCAACTCCACCTGGAAATCGATCGAGGGAATAGGCTGGGTGAACGATGTACCCTGGGGTTTCAGAAAACTACTTAACTGGGTTCACAACCACTACAACAAGCCGGATATCATAATCACCGAGAACGGTTGGGCTGATCTGACAGGAGATCTGCAAGATCAGGACAGGATCGATTATGTCGCGGTAAGTGATGCGGGGAAACGATTCGGATCTACAAACCAAAACTAACCGAAACAAAGATAGCCAGTAAATGTTCTGTCAATAGCGTTTGTTTAATTTGTTCCTACATTTGACATTTGATATTTATTTTCTGTCGTTTGAGGTGTGACGTCCTGTATAAAAGCAATTCGGCCTAAACACTTCACGGTTGATTACCACCGAAATTTGTGTTGTTTTAGGGTCACATAAGCGCTATTTTGGATGCCATAAACGAAGATGGTGTCCGCGTGTTTGGTTATACCGTATGGAGTTTTATGGACAATTTCGAATGGACCAACGGCTACAAGTAGGTGTTTTCCGACCATTGTTTGAGAAATATACTATGGTCCTATAATATTATCTTCGTATGTTTGTAGCGAGAAACTGGGTCTGTACCAAGTTGATTTTGACAGTCCAGATAGGACGAGGACCGCAAAAGACTCCGCCAAATGGTACCAGAAAATTATCAAGGATAGGTGCCTGGTGGACAAATGCCAAGATGCCAGTTTGTAATTAATATTAAAGACATTACTTAAATTCCATTTAAATTTAAGTAGAAACTAACAGCGTTATATTATTTAGCCGTAATACCGTGTCGCCAAATATTCAATTTACTTTAAATTGCATCTGGAGGGGCTTACAATGGCACTTGGGGACTTAACTAATACCCCAAACTATAATATATAAAAAAATAAAATAAGAGATAAATGGTTTATATTTTTATATAATACATATATTAAAGCTAAGGAAAGTACTAAAACTCACACTGTCTGTTGAAAAAAACATATATAAACATAAGTTTGGATGTGAGTTTTATAAGAAAACGATAAGTTACCATATCCGAATCATAGAGGGTGCCTAAAATCACCCTGTATCTAAAAAAAAGACAGCTATGACATTTCTGTTTATGTCTTAAAACCATCATACTTTATAGTACCTAATATCAAAATCAACCATCTGTATTGCGACTTGCATTGAATTTTATAGTAGTAAACAACAACAACAAACAATATTTGTATCAGTAAATGTTCCTTTTTTATATCGGAAGTTGATTTGGTCGTTATTTAAAGGAATGTTACAGTTACACTGTAGCGTGTTGGTAGTTGGTTCACCTTCGTGTACGATTAGTTTTATTTTTCCAGCACTTTTCAGACTTCGCTTTAAGCAATAGAGAAAAGTATGCTTGGCAAAAAAGTGCAGTTATAGCATATACCTTTCGATCCCATATCAATAAGAACGCCTTAACGCGCTTCACAATTTTAATTTTCGATGCGAGCGTAGTCGATTCTTATCGCGCTGCCTCGCAGATAAAGTCGAATCGTTCGCGAACGTATCAGCTCGTTTGCCGATTAAAAAAAAAAACAAAGAGATAAATAAATATAATCTCGGATACAGGCGTATTCCATTAAATCCATTCGAGAAAGTAAATATTTCAGTACTTTGTAGGTATGCGAGCTGCCTCATGCATTATTCATTGCGTCTTAAGTGAAAACAAATAAATTTAAAAGTATTTGTTTGTAGAATTTCTACGTTCGAACGTTGCTTCGATGGCGTTGCCGCGGTTAATTGGAGTGATCTGCAGTTTGCGAACCGATAAGCAAGATATTTGAGAATCTAAAAATTAGAATATTCACAAGTCTTAAACTTCAAAAATTAAAGATCTTATAACATTTAAAATTATAAAATTTCAAAAATCCAAATTTTAAATTTTAGAATTACAATACAATAATATCAGCAATAACAATAACTCATTTTGATTCAGTTAAGTGCTGTAAAAGCGAAATTTAGCATTCTTAACCATCATCGGCGGGTGCGTATGCACTGCTGTTTTCCCAAAAAATTAAGACCTTACAAAAAAAATCGTAATTAATAATATGTTTAAGTAGTAGACAGCAGTATCATAGGGTTGTTATATGACATTTTGACAAAACAAAAGTTTGTTTTGATGTCCAATATGGGATCTAAAGGAAAAAATTTTGAGTAATAAAAATTGAAAAGTATATTTTTAAGAGTTGGGTGTTTTTTCCTGATGGATATCGCATCGTTCAGTTTAGCTGTTTTAACCAACGGCGTAAGAGGGCGTATTTCTATTTCTATTTCATCCGTGCATTTGAATAAAATGTATTATTAAATGTATTTTTATTTCTAAAAACTCTTGCGTTAATCAGCCTTTTCGGTAAATTCTTGAATACATTTTGTACATTTTGCTTATAATATTAGAGTATTCAGTATTTCATTTTATTGTTTGACTTGACTCGACTTTTATTTGTTTTAAAAATAAAAAGATAATTTTTACCTTTTATAATAAACAACAAATTTAGAAGATGGTTGGTCTTTCTCAGTAAAAGCTCAACATTTTAACATAAACAGGAAAAGAAGAAATACTTCTCTATCAGAATCAATCACAGCTTGAAGCCTGAAGCTTTAGGCTCATGGTCACGAAAGAAGTTATCAAGTTAAGTTTTCTTCAAGCGACAGTTCTTCCCATACATCCTGAATACCTCACCATAGCTCCTTGCTGTTTTAAGGCTTCCTTTGAAGTGCTAAAGAATTTGTGACAGCGCTGGCATAAGATAATATCATATTGTTTTAGCTATATAGATAATATAGTGCTAAAAATTGATGCGCCATAGGTGGCTATGATAATTTCGTAGAGAAGGTATCTTTGGCGCATGCGTCACCCCCAACTGTCTGAATTGCTACATTACCGTAATTTTTCTGGAAAATTGATAAATTTTTATCGGAACGCAACATCAATCTCTGAAATCCGAACATAATTGGCGACACAGAACATCTGTGCCCGTTATTGTTTTCATTTTTGGTGTCAATATCTCCGAACCTTTTTTTGTGAAAAAAATGCCCAGTTACTTTAAAACTTGTGTTTGTGGTCAAAACTGGAAAAGAATGTGTAGATAATACACCTCATTCGCATCGTCACTATATTCACAATAATAGAGTATTTCTGACAATTTATATCCACCGTGAATTGTGGAGGTAGTCTTTAATTTAATTAGTTTGAAGAGATTTTTAAAATATTCATACGAAGAAAGGTTAGAATTGAAACCAAATAAATGAAAACAAAAATATATAGGGCATTTAAGTTTGAACATAAAAAGAGATGAAAATTCTAAAAGCCATTCTAATTGCATGGAATTTGTGTTATTAGGGTCAACCAATATTAGAACTCAATTAGACTTCCGCTTGTTGGGAAAATATACAGAAACATAATGAATATGTCAAAGAATAGAACTTTATATTTCTTTTAAAGAACAGTGCATCTCTAGATGACACTTATTTTTTATAAAGCACGATACAATCAATGGGACACAAACCCTCTTATAAGATAAGTAAGATAAGTTTTTTTGCTAGAATTGAAGAACAGTATTAGGTACACATTATGATGGCACACATTAGCTTCAAAAGAAAAACAAAAAAACTGTCGGCTTAATTATTGTATTTCAAACATTGAGAGCTTTAATACAATTTAATGATGTTTAAACGAACAAAGAGAAAGAACTTACTCGTTCTAATACGAACGCAGATAACCTTTAACTTTACGCTTAAATTGTTCAGAACTCAATATCTTAAGGGTTTGCAGCAAAGCATCGTACAACTTCACAGAGTGAAAAAATGACTTCCTAAAAAAGACAGTGTGTCAAATGGTGCCTTTGAACTATTATAATGATATGTATAAGGGGCCGTTAAGCTTAAGGTAAACACTGGCTTAAAAAGACCTCATTTCCAGTTGAATGGAAAGAAAATTTTATTACTCCCTAGTCTAAAATATCTAATTATGCATATGCAAGTGTTACTTGAAAACGTCAGCTCGAAGTAGCTAGCGATAGGTTTTCCGCGATACGTTACTTACGGGTTAAGAGCGATCAGATGTTTTGGTTAGTTAGTTAGTTTTTTAATCAATATTTTAATGTATATTTTGATTTATCCTCAACTGTGCAATTCTCTAGATATTCTACCGTTTCCATACGTTTTGGACAGCCGTTTAAAATTTTAGGATAAAGGTAATTAAACAATAAATCCGTTTGTATAAAACGATCAAACTTGGGAGTATAATATTTTTACAAATTGTTTGCCGAATATTGGGAGCAAATGATGTATTGAATAATATACAGTTTAAAAAAGTAACTTTACGTGCCCATAATTTTTTCAGATGTATAATTCTTTTTTTTTATTTCGATAGATTAAAAAAAAACTCTTTGTGTTTTTTCGGATAGAATAGGATTTTAGGATAGTGTATCACCAGAAATACGATGTAGGCCATTTTGGTGATGCATATATGTAAATTAATATTAAATGTAGGTAGAAACACGTTAGGGCATTTTTATTAAGTCGCTGGGTATTTTGAAGTTTGTCGGTTCTGATGGCCACGTAGATAGATCTATAATCAAAGGAGATGTAAATATCTTGATAGGATGGCACAATCTTGCCAGTGCTGGACATAGCCGGGGTTTTTTTATCTATGCACCGATGGTTTTTTTAAGAAATGTATTTTTTAATGTGAACGTTACATCGAGAAAACTCGTACACCAATGTAGGGAAAAGCTGATGCGGAAAAATATAACTAAGCATGTTTTTTCTATGGGTATAAGAATGGCTCGTGACATGATTCGCGTTTAATAGGCGGGTATAAATAATTTCTTGTTTGGTGTATTTGTGCTTAGTATTATCTATTGTAGATTTCCAAAGAACGCTAAAAGGCATTCAGATATAGTATGCATTATCCCTAAAAGTGTGTCAAATTTGTGTAATTTAACTTTTTATAAATCAATTATGACAAATCTTCTCTCTCATATTTAGGCAACACTCCTCGCCCCACTCGTCCGTTGCCTAAATGCAAGTTGTTGCCAACAACAATGTTATGAATGATTTATGAATTCGAACTGTTTTGGTTAGTTTCATACACTCGTTTATTAAATTGCCCTTTGCTCTTGCCAAAACAAACTCGTGACTTTATAAAATTTGTTGCATAAGCTACTAATTTTCATTTAATAAAGTTGCTACAAAAAAAACGTCTAGATATTGCCGATTATACAAATTTAAATGAAAATGTTATCAAAAGAGCCATACGTATAATATACAAAACAAAAGAGCGCCTGGTCTTACGCAAGCACGGCCGATTTGCAATGCCAATTAGTTTGGAATTCGAAAACGGTAAACTGAGTTTTTAATTTCGCCCCGTACGCTATAGCCGATTGTTTACTGTGGCCTCGGCGTCACTTTATGACTCCTTTGTCCACCCCTAAAGGATGTGAAAGTCTTACAAATTGACCGCGGAATTTACTGATGCGAAAATAAGTAAATAGGCGGGCGAACACGAGAAACGTCTAAGAATTTCAGTTTTACGAATTTTGGAAACTATGTAAAACTTCGAAGCTGTGTAAATTCAGAATTTTTGTACTTCAAAACTTTTTCGGAATGAGAATTTCATTCACTACTCAGCTTTAGTCGCCCAGTGAACGTATTCGTGCTGTTTTTCGAACCAATGGACGCAGAAGAAGTCTAGTATTCAACAGAGTGGTAAATTTCTTCAGATTCTGGTTTATTATTAAACAAATTCGGTACTATGTGTCGCTTGTAAAACTCGAGAAATATTAAAATTTCAATTATTTAATTTAATTTAGTAAAATATCATGAATTATGCTAAATTATTGACACATTGACAACATGGTAAATATCAATTGCGCGCCAATATTTTTGTTTTGATTTCTTATTCACTCCAATTCCAGTATTCCAGTAAACTTAAATACTTGCCAGAGCCTAATTAAAGGGAAAAATAATTAAAATTTGATTAAATCCAGGTTTTAATTAATTTTTTGTATTCACTAACGACTACGCATCGAATTAAAATAACAATCAAAGACTCTATTTAAATATTATAAAGCATACTCGCAATAAAATCAGCAAAAAATAGAGCAATAATATCACCATTTGTCGTGAGATGCGAATTTGTGACAGCCAGTAAATAAGATCAAATAAGCTTTTGCTTAGTGCTTAGTAAAAAAGGCAGGGACGCATAGATGCTCTGAAAACAGGACTGGATTACACTTTATGCAAAACTGTCGTATGAACAGTAACCGTGGTAACAGGTTAAACCCTGTGTGCTGCAGGTCGTTTAAACGGCGATCCTGGCTTATTTTGGTAAACTGCACCGAATCCGTTAACATTTAACTAGCTCTTAAACTTTGCTTAACACGAATCCATATATTAATGCGTGCATAAATCTGCAAGTCTGAATATATTTCAAGCAATTGCGTATGTAATTTTGCGGATTATACCATTATAAATGCCAATCAAATTCGCCATATGGAGAGTGTAACAGGATTCCATGTCAATTTTTAGGCTAGACTTTAGAAGGATAGTTGGAGAAATCAATGTGAAATTCGCACAAGTAGTTGGTAAAATACCGCTGCTAAATTAAGTAAAATAACTTCTTTATTGTTCAACAAATAAACAACAAAACAACAATATATCTTTATATAAATTAATGATAACTAAAAAAAAACAATTTATTTAAGATAAATAATTCAATGACAATAATTATATAAATTAATAATAACTAAAAAAAACATTTTATTTATGATAAATAATTCTCCCAAAAATTTGGAAATATTGACAAAAATAATAATAAAAATGAAAAAAAATTCATCTATTAGGAAAGCGGGTAAGCATAAAATGCATATAAGAAGTTTGCGTAACCATTTATCGAAATTTAAAATTGACATCCCGTTTTTCTGTAGCTGGGGCATCCAAAAAATCGTCATAGCTGATTTATAGGTAGGCCTTTCATTTTCTTGATGTTTATGGGTATACCAGAAAAAGTATTTTTCTACTCCCGTCTGTAACACACCTAATTACGCACCGATCAAGCGTGCGGGAAGCGTCACTTTGCCACGTCAAATGTACCCAAAAATTAACAGTCTAACTTTTTAAGGCACTCGTTTATTAAGCACTCACTCCGCTCGTGTCAAATAAACTCGTGAGTCAAATGCCCTTTACCGCACTTGTTGCATTATACTATTAAACCTTTGTGATTAACATTAAACTAAATAATATATAAAAAATAGTATATTATGCAGCAAGTGCGGTAAACGGCATTTGACTCACGAG